GGGGTGCTGTGAGTCAGGATGGATGTTTGATCGGCAGAGCTGGGTGGGGGGTGAAGGAAGGTGTTGGGGTGCTGCGGGTCAGGATATGACGTTTGATTGGCAGAGCTGTTCTAGGAGAAGCACCTCTGCCTGGCATTAGCCCAGCCATATGCCATGCGGGACAGGCAGTGAGTGTCCAAATCCAGACCATGAGGAGGGTACTACAATAGAGACGATATTGGACGTCATAGCGAATGGAAGAACGCAAAGCCAGGAAGGACCGAAACAAAGCCTAAAGAGTGAGCCAACCAGGGCTTGGTTGAGGTGGGCCAACACTGGGTGTGTGCATGGCCCAGTGAGTTGCCCAGCAGATGGCAAGGATGGTGGTGCAGCCTTTAATGCAAAGGAGCCCCCCAAGTGTCTAGAAGAGGGCAAGGGAAATGTCCTGCGTGGGAGCTGTCTATGGGCAGTTTATTCCTAGGGCTGGTGACCTGTGCCAACTCCAAAGCAGGCCAGAACCCTGGGGTTTGGATGGCTTGTGGAACTGATAACAAGAAGACGATGTGAAATTCAAAATGGACGCAGGAGCTGAGGCCACTGTTCTGCTGATGAGCATATTTAAGGAAATATCAGGGAACAAACAACTTGCCCAAACCTGGGTGACTCTGTAGCCGTTGAAGAGGCCTGCACAAGGCTGGCTTAGTACTGGAATTCACCATGCTTGTGTGCTAGTGGTTGCATTATTTCCCATACTTGCCCGCTTCTCTGCAGGCATGACTTGCTGGTGCATTAGATGGAGCAATTTTAATTTCTTTACATTGCGACTTCTTAGGTGTGTGTGCATGTGAGAAAGGGCAACAGTCCTTTAAATACGGAGAAATGTTCCCTCGGCGTGTGGCATGGCAGGGCCCTGTTTTCCACGCTCAGCCACTGTCGCTCCCCGATGGAATTTGGAAGGAGGGGATTTTCTGCTGGTGCCTGTTCGGTTTGGGAAGCCGTTGTTGCTCCCGGTGGGCCAGTAGAAAATGTACAGAACTTAGCTTTGAGTTTGGGTTTGCTGCACATGCGTGTCTAGGCTGGGATCTGACCCTGCTGCTCCCTCATGAGCGTCAGTTCAAAAGAACCTAGAACCTCAATGTGAAACATGGGAAAAATCCCTGTGTTCCACTTGGCTTGAAGCGGTGAACATCTCATCGCTTTGCAAATCTACAAGTCAGCCCCGGCTTTATGTGTAGCTAGGCCCTGCTTCTCTCGAAAAGCTTGCACATCTTCGGTTCATCTGGAAGTTCCCTCGGCTGAGCCCGGGAAAGTGCAGTCTCACTTAGGGTTTCCTACGACTGTACTATCAATGGCCGGTGTTAGAAGAGTTCATGGTCTAGGAGAGTGTAAAGACACTTACAAACCAGGCAGGATTGTGCCCAGCACAAGTGGGAAGGGCAGCACAAAGAAACTTTCCCTTTCCCTCGCTCCTCTGATCCTGGAATAGGTACAATCTGGTCCTTGCGCTCAGGGGAATGCCAGGTATCCACAAGGTTGGTGCTGAAGGATGGCCATTCTGGGCCAGACCAAAGGTCCCTCTATCCCAGTATCCTGTCTTCTGACAGTGGTCAATGCCAGGTGCTTCAGAGGGAATGAACAGAACAGGTAATCATCAAGTGATCCATGCCCTGTTGCCGATCCCCTGGCAGAGGTTAGGGACACCATCCCTGCCCATCCTGGCTAATAGCCATTGATCGACCTGTCCTCCAGGAACTTAACGGCACTCCCAAAATAGGTGGGTAGAAGGTGGGGCCATGATGACACCCCGCCTGCAGAAGTGGGTGGGCCCAGACGGGGGCATGAGCTGTTCCTTTGCAGCAGGCACGCTCTCTGGAGTCAGGCGCATTGGAAGTGTCCTGCAGCCCTGCTGGGCAATATGGCTGCAGGACTCTCACAATGCAGGTGTGTGCCTGAGAAGTGCAGTGAATGGCCTGAAATGACTGAAAGGGTTTCAGTCTCATGCCCCTTGTCTGCATTGGGAAGCCCTGTTGCCTCATGCCAGTCAGGCGACTTGTCAGATCTGAGTTTTTGTTTCCAAATGACCAGTGCTGCCCATTGCCTCGGCTCTGCACGGCTCCGGGTGGGTGGGTGCCCCAGTGGCCGGCGCTGTTTAGGAAGTGCCTCAGCGCTCGATGTCCGCACGTCTTTTAACCTTCACCCCCTTGCCCACGTTGTAGCTGCTGAGGCGACGCAGGAGACGGTGGAGTCCTTGATGCAGAAGTTCAAGGAGAGTTTCCGCACCAACACACCCATTGAGATCGGCCAGCTCCAGCCGGCCCTGCGCAGCACGTCGATGGGGAGGCGGAAACGCAGGAGCAGACCCCGAGGTAGGAACCCCCCCTTTTGGAGTGATGTCACACTTCCTCCTCCTGTACCATTGAACTGGTCATGAGTACGGAGACCGTTGCTTCCCAGAGGCCAATGCACGAGCCTGTGGCAAGCCGGGAGGGGCTGCATAGGGCTCTGCTGGGGCGCTCTGCTCACTTGACCACATGGGGAAACATAAACTTTGAGGTGTCACAAAATCCCTCCATAGCTTGGTGAGGGAGACAGCGCCCGCCCTGAGAGGATGTGCCTCAGATTGTAACAGGCAGTTGGGGTGGTGGTGGTTGTGAATGAGGTTGGCCCATGTCTCAAATTTGATTAAGTCTGTGCCTGATCCTGATTGGTGCTGATTGTCCCTTCCAACTCGATGAGCACTTTCACTCTTCTTGAAGTTGGCAGTAGCTGAGGGCACCTAGCACCTCTCAGGATCAGGCCTATAATGTTAGTCCTTAAAGTTATGATCCCCACGGACGAAGCCGTGTGTAGGAACGGGAGTTACGGGTAAATGAAATTCAGATTTTGTGCAAATCTTTTTGTTGTTTGGGGGCAAAATGGATTTCTGATCACCCAAAATTCACGTCATTGGATTTCCTCTGTGTTGCACAATTGCCAATCTTTGACCTATAGAAATAAAGGGGGGGAAACAGGGACATGCCACATAGTTCCACTGGAATCGATTGGCTGGGGAGATGGCTTCAGACAGACTGGGGGAAAGTGTGTGTTTGTTTTAGAATAATGGTGTGAGAATTAGCATGTACAATGTAGCATGTTTATATGGATTTCAAAGCATAATATAATATGGCCTGGCAGTATGGTTTGGTTCGTGGCACTGTTTGTCATGCCCCCCACACCCCTGCGCAAACGTTCTAGAATTTGACTGGTTGTGACCCTGCTCTTAGAACTTGTCAGTAGGGGTAGTTTTATACTCAACAGCAGGGGGCGATGTTGCTCTTCATTGTGAGTATGCACTGATATAGGTTCCTGGTTACTCTGCATTGTGGGCCTTGTACGTTACCACACATACAGTTGGTGCCCAGCTGCTAATAACCCAGTGGCAGAACATTAACGCCCAGAGAAGTCACACGGTCCCTCATGCATCAGCATCTGGCTATTTACTGACTCGGGATGAAATGTCGAAATCTTAAATTTTTGCAAACCAAAAATCCGAATAAAACTTTGGCTCTGGTCCATTGAAATGTTTTGTTTCAATAAGTTTGAAACACTTTTTGTTTCAGCTTCGACCATTTAAAAGTTTTTGTTTTTAACAGAGATATAATTTGCTTCAATTTCCAAACCAAACGTCATTTTGAACCAGAAAACTGTAAGTTTTCATTTAGAAAATGTAAAAATAAACATTCGGACAGTTTTGAAACTTCCGTGTTTTTCATGTCAAGAAATCCTTCAAAATGGCAGAAAAGTTTTGGTTTAGATGGGATCTGCATTTTCCTACTGAAAAACTCCCCAACAAGTGGTCCAAAGTTCTCAACCAGCTCCGTCCTTAACCTTTCTTCACCTCACGACTCCAGATCCCCGAACTCCGCTCCAATTCCCATGGTGCTTCAAAGGATTTCTGGCTCCTACCGGTGCTGCAGTTACCACGGGTGATTGCAGCTTCCACACACGTACCCGAGCTAGCTGTAATCTAGCTACTTTGGGTATTAGAGCAATACGCTCTTCAGAGCAGGCTGCTCCCCAAGTAATTACCCAGAGTTCCTGGTTGGCTTGTACAGGCCATGCTGAAACATGTGTGGCCTTGGCTTCCCTGCTCTGGTACCCGCGCTAGTTAGAGTTTGGTTGGCTGGGTCAGCCCGTGATTACAGTAGAGACACCCCTGGAGAAGTGACACGCTCGCTCTGTGTCCCCAGTGGGAGCTGGGAGCAGAGGAGATCAGAGCTCCTGGGTGGGAGGCCTCTCTTTCCTGTGAGGAGGGTGGGGTCGGTCTATGGGCAGAGCGATCGGAATGCTTCCCCTGCAGGGGGCGTCGGTGTGCTAGCAGGGTGTGAGGTACAGCCGGCCCCTTCCTGGGGTCAGACCCTGCTCTGCAGTGAGGACGGGGTCTGGGTGTGCAGTAGGAATGGGGTGAGTCGGTGCACTGGGTGTGCAGTAGGAACGGGGTGAGTAACAGAACCTGTCCTTGATACGCTGAGGGACGTATCCGTCCCTCAGCGTATCAAGGACAGTTTCTGTTACTGCAGTAATAAAAACCGTTGCGCTGCCTTTCTGGTTTTTCCTGGTGAGAACTCCACTGGTGGCTGCCCCCGTTCGCCTCCGGCCTTTCTCTGCACCGGTCCCGGCGGGCCAGACCTGCTGCGACTCTGGAACTGTCCGAGTGGCTGTCAGGGATGTGGTTTGCTGTCTGGCTTCCCCTTCAGGCTCTGCAGGATGCGATGGGCAGCATGGCCTCATTTGCAGCTGACGTTCTGGCACTATGCAGAGAACACATGGTGTCCTTGCGCTTCATTAACTCACTTGCCTCGTCATGGAAGCCTTCAGCCTTTCTGGAGAAGGTGACTCCTCAGCGGAGAGATCCTGGGCCAGGCTTTCATGGCGGCCATTAAGACCTCAGTGCTCCGAACTTTCTCCTCTAGCCCTCCCTCCCACACCTTTCTGGTGTCTCTGTTTCCCGCCTAGCCATACATCAGCCATGCACAGTACAGCACTCCTGCCACACCATGCCCATCTCTCTGTAATTCCCCTACAGAGGAGAAGAGACAGGCTGGGCTGTAATGAATGTAAAGGGGGTTCTTTACTTAGGTTGCTGGACATGGGAAACATCCCTGTGGCTCTCCCTGGCTCTCTAACTCCCATACTGCCTAACTCAACTTGTGCTGCTTAGTGTAACACTCACATAAAGTATTTATGTCCCCCTCCAGTGGCTAGTCTGCATAGAGGATGATAGCCTGCCAGTGCTGCCAGCTAAAGGAGTTCCTCTTTTAACTCACGTGGCTGAAATGTGTGGCCTGGTTCTAAAGTTCCAGAGTTCGAACCGGGCTGGTGGATGGCAGGGAATGGGGGGTGGGGGGAAGGTTATTTTATGACTTTATGACACAGAGAACCTTCCCTTGATTTAAGCGGCCATGGTATGCTCTTCATGTAGGTGCCTAGAGCAGTGCGGGTCGGCTGCACGGCTTTTTCTGCAGCAATGTTGGAAAGCCCAGGGAAAAATGCTTTCCTCTCTGTTTACTGTAGGTTTTGTTTTTCATTTATTTATGAGCCTGAAATGTGATCTTTTATTCTGGGTACATTTTCCTGTGGTAGAGGACTGGAGAGGGCTTTTTTTTTTTTTTTTTTTTTTTT